TACTCTTTGTATTGGCATTCATGCTGTTGAATACACTCCTTTCATAATACTATATTTTGTCAGTATTCTACAGTTATTATTTCCTTAAAAACACTCCTGTGATATCAACTGTATAATAAACTATAATTCAAAGTAAAATATCAGCCATTTCGTCCACGAGAGAGAATAATAAAGCCATAATAAAAAGGAATAAAGTTTAACAATATGATAATGTAACATGAAGTTTTATAGACTCCATGCAAATGTTAAAATCTATAAATTTTTTTTGTAGTGTAATATAGTAAAAAAAAAAAAAATAGTTAAAAAGAGGACAAAAGGGAGTGGAGAAAGGCAACAGTAGCAGGCTAGTTTACTGCTGAAATTCTGATTTCTTTTTAGAATATGGAATGTGGAAAAAATTATGCATAATTTGCTTGTGGCTTATTTTAACTATTATGAGTATTACAAGTAAACTGAATAAGGAAATCAAAAGTTTCTACTTCCCAGCCCGGTCTACTTGTAAATTCAGAAACTTTAAAGGCTGATCATCTCTCTCCTTGTCTTTCTTTGCTCACACCGAGTATCCATGAACGCACTTTGCATTTTTCTCATCATACTCCTTCTGTTTGTTGTCTATCTATTTTGGTTCTAACTGAAGGTGAAAGGATGCACAAATATGGAAAAGTGGACAGAAGATCAAATTCTCCTTATATCCGTTTCCTCTATGTTGTATCATCCATTCTATAACTTGTGAGATATGAATACCAAACCTTCATTTTCTAGCAGTCCAATGATTATTTCATTGTACTCATCCATTACTTAATCTATCTTCTGGCACTACATCATGCTAGGCATTTGCATTTAAATAAAACTTCTAAAAGCCAAAGTAAATACATTTTGTTAAAAAATTCTGCCTTTGGAGACAGCTGAGGTTGGCTGTACAGGGCTCTGAGCACACGATGCAGCTGCAGGTGTTCCTGTTTGTTGCAGGGGAGTTGTAGATGATCTTTAAGGGTTCTTTCCAACTCAGTTGTGTCTATGATTCTATGAAAGGAAGCTGTAGTGAGGTGGTTGTCACTCATTTCTCATGTGACAAGTGATAAAACACAAAGGAACAGAATCAAGCTGTGCCTTGGTTTAGATTTGATGTTAGGAAGTACTTCCTCATGGAAACTCTGGTCAGGGATTGGAACAGGGTGCCTGGGCAATTGGTGCAGTGGTATAGCCCCCATCCCTGGCAGCATTCAAGATGTGGATACAACGCTCAGGGATGTGGTTTAGTGGTGGACTTAGTAGTATTAATTGATGGTTGGACTTCATGATTTTAAAGATCTTTTCCAAGCTAAATTATTCCATGATGTAGCTGCTTCTGTTGACAGATGATTCATCACTGACAACAGCAGAGTGCATTTTGCTCACGTAATCAAGATTATTGTAGGATTTCCAAAAAGGAAGAAGAGTAAGCAGAAAATAAAGATCTGGCTGAGAACTTCTAGAATCATTCACTTCAGAACTGCAAGTTGAGGAACAGGAGTTTTTTCAAGACTCCTTAAGGGCTGTTCCACATCTCCACATGCTCACCTGCAGGATTTTAAGGGTAACCTGCACCTAAGAGGGAGAGGGGCCAGCTTCTGTTCACCATATTCATCCTGAAAAATTGCACAAAGTTTCAGGAAAACTTCCATATGTTTCAAGAGGATTAAGGGGAAGGAAGGAGCACAAATGCAGGAATAAGCAGTGAAGGTAACACCGAGAAATGTTTGGACTAACACCTGCCATGCCATCTACTAACCAGCCATGATGTATAACTATTACAGCAATTCAAGTTTCGTATTAAAGACAAGAAAATAATTTCTTCACTGATACTGAGACCTTAGTTGCAGTCCTAAGCAACAGAAGGCGTGGTCTCTCTACAGTAGAGATTTTCACTAAATGTGGAAATCCTTTAGTTTTTATCATACAGGCAAAACACAGGCTGCAGAAAATGATACTTTAGATAAAATTGGACTTCAATAACCAAGGGAATTATACTTAGTCTACTTTGAGATCCAAAACTCAATTGTATGAATTACGTAAAAGTGTGTTATGTGAATCTAACAACCATCCAATAAAGATGTGCTTGAATTAAGGTAGATACAAAGGTGCTCCTTGCCTAAAATCCGGTACTGCACTTTAAAAAAATAACAAACAAAACCAACCATTAAAATTACTGTCATGTGATGGCACTGCCTTGAGAGAAAAGCATGTGAGAACTGTTCCCCAAGCTAAACTAGTCAGAATAACTATATTAAGCAACTAAAGTAGGTAAAGTAAAACCTACTGCTTGTTCCACAAGTGCTTTCTGTAACTTAGAATTTAATGAAACATTTAATTAGGAACATTTCTACAACCCACAAACTCTTAAAAATTACAATATTAGGCATAGCAGGTATCTACGAAGATGTAGAATTTCAGTAACAACATTCTGCCTGATCACACACTTGTTTGCTCATTTATGATGCCCAGCACACCTGGATTACGCAATTCTAGAAGAAAAGCACAGTAAAAGGTCATTTAAAAAAACAAAAACCCATACAATTCATATCCCTAAGGAAAATATTTTCTTTAAACACTTAGTTGAATCGTGTTCTCTCTCATACCATAGCTAAATCTTTTGCTTGTTAGTTTTTTTTTATTTGAAATTCTCAGGAGAGTAAAGCTATGCTTATCTGCACATATCTGTACCTTGTAAATTGAGTTAATCATAAACTCCTAAAGCAAAATGTGCAGTGAAGTCTAGTAAGTCACAGCCTTTTGAACCATGCATTTATCCAAGGCACTGCATAAAAAAAAAATCAGTCTAATATATGAAAATCTGAACCTTCTAACAAGGTTGACTTTTTTCCTTTTTTTCACATCAAGTGACCAAAGGCAGCATACAAAGTATTACAAGGAAGTTCACAAGTTCTGGGTCCTTCATCATAGTCATATTGAACATTGGCTCCTTATATAAGTCACAGACACAAAGCTGTAAAAGGTAATAAAAAAAATACAATTTTATTGTGTTAGTCTGCATATGTATTGATACAGTTGTTCTGAGAATGCTTCTGAGGAAAATTTTTCCATAAATCTGACTCTCCCAGCTGCTCCCATTGAGTCCTTCAAGAGAGGATCTCTCACGATTTTTTCCATGGCCTCAGAGAATTGTGTTGGCAGAGGATCACACAAAAATCCTGTAACGTTATTCAAAATTGATTCTAAAGGACCACCCGAATTAACTGCTATAACTGGACGTCTCATGTACATTGCCTCCAGAGGAACAATGCCAAAGTGTTCGTTACTTGGTGTGTACAGCACACACACACAGTTACTAAGAAGAGAGATTTTCTGTTCATCTGTGAATGATCTCACAAAAGTGACATGGTCACTAACGTTAAGCTTAGTTGCAATTTTCCTTAGTTCTTCATAATGCTCCACATTTTCCAGAACTCGTTTATCATAGCCACCTGCTATAACCAAGTGAACTTCACTCCACTGATGAGAATCGAGTCTTCCTCGAAGCTCATGCAAAGCTTCAAGAGCCAACGCGAGGTTCTTTTTTCTTTCGTACCTATTAATAGATAGAAACAAGAACTTGGTCTTTTTGGGAATCAAGTCAACTATGTCCACAGGAACCACTGTCTCAAAGCTACTGGTGTTGAGTGATGGATAAAGGACATCTGGGTTTATGTGAGACAAAGATTTAAATGTCTCCTTGAATACACTGGCAGTGAATTTGCTGTTCACAACGATGCAGTCTGCCATGCCAGTGGTGTACTCTTCCAGCCAATCCAGTGGCATTCTGTAGAGGCGCTTTAGAAAAGATTCTCTCCTGGTAAGGAGTTGATCAGGAAAGTGACAGTAAAACAAAACCTTCTTCCGTGTTCTGGCCAGCCTGAGTATCGGAATGCAAGCGGACACCTAGTGCAAACCAGAAGAGATGACAAGGCATTTATTATTTGTGGTAGCACTGCTGCTGCAAAGGGTATGACAGAATCATCAAGGTAGGAAAAGATCTCTAAGGCCATCTAATCCAACCATCAGCCCACCCTCACCATGCCCACTGACCACATCCCTCACTACCACATCTATATGGATCTGGAACACTTCCATGGACGGTGACCCCACCGCCTCCCTGGGCAGCCTGTGCCACTGCCTCACCGCTCTTCCAGAGAAGAAACTCTCTCTAATATCCAAACTGAACCTCGGAGCTCCCCCTCTCAACCTAAGCACCCACTCCCTACGACCCCCAGCCCGCGTTCTTTCTCAGCGCCCACCACCAAGAGAAAGCTTCAAGAATACGACGGCGCGGCTCACCCCGTCCCCACCAGTCACCCTCAGGACGTTCCCCCCCACCCCGGCCCTGCCCCTCAAGATGGCGGCCGCCCGCACCTGGTCGCAGATAAAGGCATCGGCGTGCTGCCCGCTGAGCAGCAGGACGTAGAGCGCCACGAAGACCATGCGCAGCGCGGCGCACACCGCGTGCCCGCGGCCCCAGAAGCTGCGCGGCAGCCAGGCCCCGGCGCGGTGCACTGCCAACTGCCGCGTCTCGGCGAAGCAGCGCCCGGGATCGTAGTGCGCCGTCCACACCTGCACCCGGCAGCCCCGGGCCTTCAGCGCCAGCGCCGCGTCCACCACCAGTCGCTCCGCGCCGCCCAGTCCCAGGTCCGGATGCAGGAACAGCACGGACGGGCCGCTCGCCTCCTCTCCCTCCCCCCGCTCCGCCATGGCGCCGAGCGGTAGCGCGCATGCGCCGCCAGCGGGCTCTAGGGCCACGTCAGCCCATCCTGCCGGCCGCTCTTCCGCCTCCCCTGCCGGGCCGCTCGCACGCTGCCGGGCCGCTCGTCCCACTCCTTCTTGGAGCTGACACTTCAGCATGGCCGCCTGAGGGGACGAAGACGACGTGTGAAGGCCTCTCCTTAGGAAAGAGGCCCGGCAGCGGGCGGAGAGGAGGGAAAGGATGTAGACGCTGCGTCAGGCATCGCTGCGGGCAGCCCCGGGGGCCTGAGGGCGGGGCCTCGAGCGGGCGGGGCGGCACTGCGGGTAGGGACGTGGCTGTGGGAAGGGAGCTGAGTCTGCCTGCTGACTGATCGACTGCAGCCAGCGCCGCCGCCATGGTGAGGTTCCACGCTCCTGCGCTGCTGCTTCCAACTCGAGGAGCTCCCCGTCCTGATGTTCTTCCCCTCCTTCTGTTCGTTTCTCCCTAACCCCACTTCTTTTCTCCTCCCGCAGCCCGGGCCGAGCCCTAGCGCCACCAACGTCGGCACGTCCGGCCGCTCCCCCAGCAAGGCCGTGGCTCCCCGCGCCGCCGGTTCCACCGTCCGGCAGAGGTAGGTGCCGCGGCAGTCCCGGGTTCGGCGCTGCGTTGTTCTTCACGGCGTTCCGAGTGAGTGCCGGAGCGGCGCTGAGGGAGGGCTGGGCCGTGCGGTGCATCCCGCTGCGGACGTGTCAGTGAGGTGTGCTTGAAGGGGACGGCTGCCGTCGGTCCGGCTGGTGTCGGTCCGGCTTCTCGGCCCTCGTGTTACGTGGGCGTCGTGCCCGCAGCGTATTGTACTGCCCAGTTTTAAGTGCTTGTCTCGTTTCTTCGGTTTGTTGGGCACTCCGTTGATGGAGAGATAATGGATTGTGGCCTTTGCTTTGTTCTGTTACTCCCTGAAGGAAGAACGCCAGCTGTGGGACGAGGAGTGCAGGCCGTGCCACGTCCACAGGCACCGGTGGGATGTGGCGGTTCTACACTGAGGACTCCCCTGGGCTCAAAGTGTAAGTTGAGTGTATGAACGTGGGGTGATGGATTTCAGCTGTTCGGTTGTTTGGTTTTTGAGTTGAGAGATCAGTGCTGTGGTGTGCAGGGAGAGGTGTGGTGAGCTGATGACTGGTTAGATGTATTCAGCAGGAAATCTGGTATTTAATCTTTAGAGCTGGAGGGAGGTACCGACTTTGACAACTGTGAAATTGGAAAGGTTACTTGTCACAGTGAATTTAGGCATTAGAAATAGTTGTGTCATTTCTCATAGTTAAACTTTTGTCTTTCCTTACTGTTGGTGTGTTGTGACATCTTACACTTTCTTGAAAATGTGACACTACAGGTTGGCTGTGTTTACACAGTGTCAGGTGTTCTTATTAAAAAAAAAAAAACAAAAAAAAAACGAAAAAAAAACAAAGCTTATTTCAGGAAAGCTTTCCAACTAACTAACTTTCCTGTACCTTGTTTCTCTCTGTTACTATGAGAGGAACATTCCCAGGTTACAATCAGACATCTGATGGTAGCTTCTGTTGACAGCAAGAGGGGCACTGTGTTTTTTAGTCCTGGGCTAGTCTAAGTCAGATCAGTTTCTGAAACTCACCTAGCAACCTAATGTGTGAGTAGCTGAGGCAGGAGTGTTTCATCTAACAGGTGCAAATGCGAAGTTATACCCTCAGGTATGAGCTAATGCTTTTTGTAGAGTTCACAGCCTCTAGTGTTTTGTTACTGGGCTGAAAAGAGCTTGTATACTTAGTGGTGCCTTTGGTTATGCTTATTGTTTATTTTTTTTCCTAGGATCAGTTAATATTTCAGGGTTCCTTAAGTGTGCAACTGTCTGTGTGAACGATTGGAGAAGGGCTCATGATACTCTGGCTTACCTTTTGTGTTCTCCTTTTCACATGCATTTAGCAGTTTTTAACAAAGTTCCTGCAGACTGTCAAAGTAGTGGTGCTCTGCTACTGCAGAATCACTGAAGGAAGCAAGGTAGAGAAAATGGAAAGAATATGAGCAACAGTGGTGTTTTAGAGCATGTTTGTGTGTTGATAGGTAAGGCAAGTGTTTTCTGTATTATGTGGCCTACTGAAAATCAATTAAGAATGGAGAAGAAAATACCTATTCTTCCATTAGGTACAACTTTTAAAATGTAACAATGATGTAGCTGTCAAAGTAGATTTACCAGCTTCAGCATGATTCACAAGGGAACCTTTAGTTGTTGAGTGGTCAGTTCTAGAAGATGCATTGTTCTAGTCTTCAATGCAGGCAGGTCTGTCGGCGGATTTTCCCATTTACTTGTGAACCAGTGGCTCTGAATCTTAAGGTTTTAGAACGATGAAAGTATCTTTTACAAGCTAGCATGGGTATGTCAAGGCTTTTAATGGGTGAGATGTCTGTAAATGTGTGTTGATTTTAGAGTTTGCTTGCAAGTGAGCTGCAAGATTTTCTAAACTGTGGCTTGGGAGTAGCTTCCTTCCTTCCAAGCTTTTTTGCTTTCTGTATTGATTTCCTATTGCTATAATCTGTCCCATTCAGTATGCTTAAAGATGAAAATGGGTTACATATGGGTTACAGTTGCCTCAGTTAAATGCTTCAGCAGAATTTGTGATTGCAAGCAGTATAAATCTAAACCTGGGATATCTTCTGTGGGGTGGGGTTGGCAGACCACTCTTACTCATCTAGTCTAAAGTAAGAGATCTTTATTATTAGCAAGGATTATTTCATGCTATCTGTGATCAAGATAACTCCACTGTAGATCAAATGTTTTATATTGCGTGTAATGATATCTCTGATGCTTCAAGGTTTTAGCATCTGTTCTCAGCATCAGAAATAATAAACAAGCCAGTTTCTTTTGTCTCAGGAAAGTACTTTTTTTTCTTTTCTGAAATGCAAGATGTTATATCATTAAAAGCAAAAGGAGCTGAGGGAAATCTGAGAAGGAGATAGGATTATATTTGAGCATTTTGAATGAGCATTTTGTGCTTTGAAAGAAAGAGTATAAAGTCAAACGTGCTTTGCTTGCTATGGCACCCATACCTGTGGTTCCTCTATCTTGTCTTAAACTTGATTGATTGCTTGAAGAGCTATAGGCAGTGTTTGTGGTGGAACCATGGTGATCTGAAATTGGACTTAAAGTATGGTATGCAGTCCTGTGAAAGGTGCACCTGAGAATGCACAACTCCAAATTTCTGGAGGTGCTTAAGCCAGATTTAGTATCTATTTTAAGTGTACACGATGAGCTAGGAAGATCCAGGTGTATGAAAGAGTATTAGGGGTTGCTTGCTTTGTTTCTGTGCGTGCAGTCTGTTTTTGTGTTATGTTATTGGTTTATATCCAGTGTGTTTTACATCTTTGTGTGGGATTCTTCGTACTCAGGACTGCTAAATGTGATCAATAATGACTGAGACTTAGAATTCAATGGCAGAGGACAGCTTGGGTCTGTTAGAAAAATGTTAGTGAACTTTCTCATTTTAATCAAATTTGAGGTTGTTTTTTACGCTGTGTTCAAGTAATATTTGCCTGCTTCTAAATGGTAAACAGAAGGGTGATTTGTCAAGTGTGACTGGTTAAGAGAAGTCAGTGTTTATAATATTATACATCTGGCACATAGTTGGGTGAAGTAGGTGGTGCAAAGCAGCATTGAGAGAACAGTAGGTAGCGTGAGAAGGGGAAAAAGCAAACAAATCTGTTAAATTGTACACTTTGGGTAATGATTTGACAATGGACTTAACTTTGACATTCTGTGTATCTTGATTAAAAAACCAAAACAAAACAAGTGATCTCCATCTCCCTCATTGCTGCCATTGTCTTTGAATGGAATAAAACCTTTGGGGAAAAAAAGACAACCAGTGTGAGTTTTACACCAAAATGTGAGTAGCCGCTAGAGGACTCTGTTGTTTCTTGTATTTCACCACATCTCCGCTCAGGCGCCTTAGTAGTAAATACAGATAATAATTTTCTGCAGATTGGTTTCACGGTGATGACTAATAATGAACCATGAATTACTGCTTAAATAAGTGGAAGTTGTTAATGTGATGTGATTTAGAGTTTTACATATCCGAATTGTTATGTAACTGTCTCTTAAAGCAGAGCAGCAGCAGCATTTCTTTAATAAGAGGCGACTGTTTCATTTCTGTGTGTTTTTTTCCATTTCCATAGAAATATCATAAGAATTTCCTGTTTCAATTGCATATGAACTGATGAGTTTGCTTGGCTGGTAGTGACTGGCCTTTGGACAAAGCAAACTTTTTTTGGCTTCGTGTTAATGTATTTTTTTTCTTTATTTTTAGTGGGCCTGTTCCAGTTTTGGTCATGAGTCTCCTTTTTATTGCTTCTGTATTTATGCTGCACATCTGGGGTAAATACACTCGTTCATAGACTCAGCTGCCAACTTAAAGCATACATCTTGGACCAAAAATATGGTGGATCCTGGTTGTTCTTGGAGAGAGACTGGGGAAGCCTCCTGTCACCTATTGAAGTCCTACAAACTTTGACTGTAACACAGAATGAGCTTCTCAGTTGTCTATGCGGGCAGGTTTTAAAGTCTGTAATGGGTCACTGCATCTGTACGTTTAGAATACAGGTATTACAATAAAATTTGTATATGGAAATTGAAATAGTCTTAATGTTTTTCCTCCTATTCCAACCAATAACTAAAGTATTGTACTTGTGGTTTCTGTATATCGCTGTCGCTGATTAAATGTCATTTGACAGTTGAAACCAGGTTGTTATACTACAAGTAGCCATGTAACTTCATACCAAAAAATCCTTTATGAATGAGGAAGGCAACATAGGGTGCATAAACATGTGATGCTAATGACTGTGTTGTTAAAACAAAGTTGAGATACATGAAATTTGGTTGTGTTCTCTTATTAACTCCAGAAAAGCAAATGCTTTTATTTCCAAATTGTAAGTTAAGCCACTCAATACTGATTATACTAAAAGTATAAAGTTTTCTTGTTTTTCAAACTGCACTTAAGGAAAGGCATAAACAGGTATTCTGATTTAAAAAGAGAAACTGCATGGCTGTCACTGACACGTTTCTTCTGTAGGTCTAGGGTCTTTCAAAGAGACTTAAGTTGTAAAATGGAGTGGGAGGGCTGGGAAAGCAATGACTACTGTTTAAATAACAGGACATGGAAACATACTTGAGATACGCTTAAGTGGCTCTTCATGCCCTGCCCATTTTCCTTGCGGGTGTTTTTAGTTTTCCTTGTAGACCATCAGGCAGCTCTTCTTTTTTAACATAAGCAACATATTGGTGTGTTTCTTCTTGTTGGTGTGGTCTTGAGATTCAGATAACTGAATCAGGCCTTTCCATGCAGTTGGATGGAATTATTTTAGCCTGTTATCATGTTACGATTTCTCTTTGAATATCTGCTCATACTGTACAAGGAATAATCTTGTTTATGCAGCCTTGGTAAGTGTTAACTGTTTACAAGTTGTAAAATCAGTGTCTATTACCCCTACCCATTGTCCTATAAATCAGTTCTTAAAGTAGTACTAATTCTGAAATGAAGAAGTGGCTTAAGAGTAAGGAATGTGGTCTTATGTCTATAAGGATAGCTTTTGGGCTGTGCTTAAGTCAATATGTACTAAAAACGTACAGAGAAAGATAGATGATGTAGAGCAGGAACTGAAACTTTCTTACTAAATGTAGTGGTAGAAGAGTTTTGTTTTAGGAGGAGTGGAAGTCAAGAGCAGGGAATTCTAATAACTAAAAGAGTGGTATCAGAATACAACAGAGTGGTGGAAACTGCCCGATACATTGTATGTAAAAGGGGGAAGTTCCACAAATTACCACTATGCATATGGATGGGAAGTGAAAATGAGATGAAATATGGGAATTGCCTTGCTTCAAAAGACAAAGGTAAATACTTTGCCTAGCAAGAAAATAACATTTGTACAGCCACTGATTTTATTTTAAGAAGGAAAATGCTGTCAAAGAAAAAAGCAAATGCAACAGTCTCCATCTCCCTGATTGCTGCCATTGTCTCTGAATGAAATAAAAGCTCTGGAGAAAAAGAGAGGCAACAAGCCAATGTGAATTTTAAATAAAAATTAGAGTTTAAAAAAGGGGGAGAGGAGTGGGTCAGGTTATGTTGCTAGCTCAGTTTGTGGTACTTTAAGGGAGAGGAATAATGGACTGACTCTTCAGATACCTGAAGGGAAAGAAATAATGGATAATAGTAGTATCTAAGTAGGTAACCTCTGCTTTACTCTGCTTATTATATCATCAAGATATAATTGTCTTTTAAACAATTGTGGTCCTTAAAGGGTATTCTGCCACATCAGTTCTATTTGAAGCCTTCAGTGTTTTTGCGTATCTGGTATCTTGGTCTTCAAATCAGCTGTAAACTTGGAAGAAGAAAAGGGGTATGGAAGAGAGAGTTTGCTGTGTAACTGGCATTTTGTTCAGCTGAGTACAGAAATGTTGACTGCTACAACAGTGCTGTCCTTAAATGTTCTGTTTCTTAGACTGGCTTGTCTTGTAGGTGCTTACATACGCTGTTAAGGAGTGTAGTGTCCTTAGTTCTGCACAAACTACTTCCCTCCCCTTTTGGTGTTATATTTTAGAAGTGTAAGCCTTATTATGGTGTTTTTAAAAATGGCAGCTTTAATTCATTAAATAAAATCTATACCTAGTTGGATGCATTTAGCTGGAATGTTAGCACTGCTTGATGTTCCTTGCTCATCATAAAGACAGATTTCTCTGTATGTTTTCAATTTATGATCACTTTAATGGTTTGCATGAAAGCATTAGATATGTCATGCCTGGATGCTTAAACATACCATGTGCATGAGCTGTAGTGGATTATTACAATCAGTATTTATCAAGAATTTGACTTCCCAGCAGGGCAGATTGCCAAGACCTACCAGAATACTGGTTAATAACATGAAATTCTGTATAGCCTGGATGATTAACTTATGGCTGTACTGGTAAACAGCAGCTTATCTGTAATACAGGAAACTAGAGTGTCTTTTAGTAATAAGTTGAGGAAGAAGAAAGAATAATTATTTGCAAAGCTTCTTACCAGACAGCGAGGAGTTAATAGGACTGTGAATTTGGTCTCTAATTGTATATGATTGAAATACAAACATGTCTGAGCTGAGTTAGAAGTCATAAATATCCTTGTAGTCTATGTTAGCGCTGCAGGAGGAGCTAGGTTCACAAAGGTCTTTACTTAGCAATACAGATAGCTTCAAGAAATCTGTGAGGACTTGCATCTGCAAAGGTAATATGGTGAAGTACTAGCATCTCTTATTGTCGACTTCTAAAAACATTATTTGCAACCTCAGACTTTGTTGTTTCTCAGGTAATAAGAAAGGATTTTATAAGGAAGTGGAGCTTACGTAGCTCTGTCATACATGGATGTGTCTGTGCCACATAAGCCTGCCCTCCCTCCCTGAGCAGCACTGCTGTATGTGAGACAACTGCAGTGAAATTTAACACGAGTAGAAACCAAAAGATGCTCTTCGTGAGGGCTCTCTGAATGAGGTAGCTAGTGGACAGAGACTGTTGGAGTTTTCCTAAGCACTCTAGCTTGTTATTTAATGAAGAGCAGAAGAGTTAGGCTTCTTAAATTCATTTATGTTAGGAAAGACTGTAATTTTTGTCCTGGCACCTTTCTGCACTGAAGTTGAATGCTACAAGCTGTGGATCTCTGGAGATATGGGCTTCATTAGTTCAGATGTTGCAGAACTAGCTCCTTCTTTTTGCGGTCTGTGCAGGAGCCAGCTATACTACACAAAAGCAAATGTTTTTCCTCTAAGCTACACTATTTACTGGTACCCAATCAGTCACGTGCAGGCCAGCCTTCTTTGTGGTGTGCACAGAGCTTGTGATCTATCTTCTGCCATCACGTTGGGATAAAACTGTGTCTCTGATGGTCACTTCAAGCATTTCTGGTTCTTGAAGGGAATGAAGGGAAGGGCAGGTTTTAAGTACAGGTGTCATCTTGCAAAGACTGTTCCCTGCATACACTGCTTCTTACAGCAGAAAGGTTTTTTTATCACATCAGACTCTGAGTTTACCCTCCAAGAAGAAATGGTTAGCTCTTTTCAATATTTCATTTATCTCCAGCTGTTTCTTAGGATCTCTGAGACTGTCATAACATACTGTAAGCTGTCCTCAGTACTGTTTTGCTGTAAGTTATCATGCCTTTACTGCAGAGACAGATATACATGCATGTCTCTTTACAGATATGTATATAGTTAGTCTGTCTGCTTAGAAATGCATTAAGATGAGTCTTTGCAAATGTAAGATTTTGTGTCCTTATTAGTCTGCGCTGTAGCAGCAGTGTGAGAAGCAAATGGAACAGCTTGTGTTCTTTTTCTCAGCTGTGCTGGCTGGAGATGAGTGGATGTTATATTGAGATCACATGGTGAGGGCTAAATGATTTTATAAATACATTAATGGCTTCCAGGAGGAGTTTTGCAGAAAGTTGTATTTTCTTTTTTTTTTTTCTGGAGAGAAGATATAGTGCTTTTTCCTTCAAAGAGTAAGCTGGTACACTTCCAACACTGATAGCATGGCTGTGTTGACGACTTTATATTAGCTGTTTATATAATGTGTTGCATAGAGGGCTATATCTTGTAGCCTTGGTATTGTTAGTAAAATATTAAGACTTATATTTTTAATAATATTATTTTTAATTTGGAGTGTGTCTTATCAGAAGGGATTGTCTGCCTTTTACCTTTTTTATTGAGGGAAAGTTGTGTCTTATTGTGAATTCTGCTTTTGATTTCAGAAGCCACTTGAAAGAAAGGCAAAGCAAGAACAGATATAAAGTTACTGAATATACCTAATTCATGAACTTGTCTGTGACGTCTTGTTAGTACTGTATTCTAGTAATCTCTTATCGTCTGGAGGCTGCCAATTATAATCCATAGCACAATTCAGTAGGATAATGCTCTGATAGAGGAGCATGACAGGTACTACTGAACAGAAAAGACTCATTCTCCTTGTGAGAAAATCCCAGTTCAAATGTGGATCACAAGAGATCTGACACACTTGTTGTATTGGCCTGCAGGTTGCAAGTAATTGTTCGTGCTTCATATTTTGAAGGATTTTTAACTATTCCACCTTGAAGTAACTGACCAACTACAAATGGAAGTACTTGAAATAACACTTTCATTTAAGAAACCGAGCTAAGCAAAACTTCTCATGCGCAGAGTTGTTTGTCATAACGTTAACCAAATGAGATCATGCTTGTCTTGTTGAAGTCAAATTAAAACAACGTATTCCTTCCAGAAGATTGCTTTTTTAATGTCATTCTTTTTTAGATATTTGAAGAGATCAGGAAGATACATGGAAGCTACAAAGATCAGGAAGAAGATCACGTTTGGTTGAAGTTGCGTACTCTGGGCAGACTGTAAGGGTTTGTGGTATCTATGATCACCCCCAGCTTACTGTAGGGATGAGATGGTCATTTGTGGAGAGGATGGGCGTTGTAGCTGTGGGTCAGCATGCAGGAGTCCCTCTGGGTGGGAGGGCGAGCAAGTCAAAAGACTGAAGCACTTTATTTCCTGTTCTTCAGCTTGATCAATTGCCCTTCTGTAGCTGTTTCCTTAGCATTCCAAAAGGACAGTTAGAAGGTGTTTGTTTCTCTAGGAA